TACTTTTCGCGATGACTACCATGGCAATGGCGCTAAGAATGCCGAGTTTGCTTAATGATTCCACGAGGTGGCAAGAAGCTGGCTAGAACAGAACTTGCTGATCATAATTCATACTGGCTCTGCCAGGCAGTACTGGAATTTAAGCGCGGCACAACCAGCTTGAACAGGTTGTCCAAGACCAGCTGGTCCATTCCACCTTGGTGGCTCAGTGCGGTGCACCATGGTTCGCCTACTCTTGCCTTACATGATAGTGCACAGGCCAAGTGGAGAACAACACATACCAGTACCAACCCATCAGAAGCAACACCCTCTCATCAAGCCAAGTACCGTAGCGGTTGAGTGCGAAGTCCAGGATTCTCTGGTTCTGGAAGTTGAATCGAAAGAATCGCACCTCCCAGAGGTTGCAGCTTGCCGCCCACTGGCTGGGCGGACCCGGTGGCACAGGGGTGCTAGGTCGGAAACATCTCCCAAGAAACCTTCCTACATTCTACATTGACGGAGATCATGTTCCAGGGGCATGCAGGCCCCGCAACATTGCCACACAAAACACGGAAGGAAGGTCTTGTGTTGTGGGCCCCTGAAACCCGAAACCCTAAATCCTAAACCCTAGCTGCTTTAGCCGTTGGACACGCGGAACGCGCCCGCCTCCGTGGATATTAGCTCAGCCACCCAACTGCCCTTCTCCTTCTTCGCGCGCACCTTCCCGCCTAAGGCGAAGTAGACGGTGCCGTTCCTCTGCGACATCCATTGTGAAGAGGAGGAGATATTCTGAGGTGGGGAGTGCTGGGTATCGCTTCCCCTTGTTCATCCCGGCCTCTGATCCGCTAGGCTTCCCCTACATCGAAGAGCCTGCCAAAAACCACAAGAAGAGGAGCGCAAGAAGGGAGTCACTGCCCAAAAAAAGGCAAAACTAATGACTTTGGAGACCAAAGGTGCTGGCCCTTCGAGAGGACCTCCCTGTTCGCCGCGAGGCTCGAAGCCCAGTTCATCAGGTCGTCGTTGGTGTGGACCTCGAAGCCGGCGATCCACAAGTCGGCACGCCCAACCCCTGTGTGCCCCTCCTTGGTTACAGAATAACCAAATAACACAATAATAATAATCAGTCTCATCAAAAGATAAGAGTAACAACATTAAGAACCTTATCATAATTTCATAATAATAAAACCAGTAGTATCTTGGTTACTTCATGAGGGAACCCAGAACATCCCAGAACCATAAAAAACAAAAGTCTTGCCAGAGGGTAGCTAAGCAACCACGGAATCAGAACCCAGCAGCTCGAACTCCACGGCATCTGGGCCCGATCGGGTAAGCCTTAGCTCCGCCTGCAGCCGACTGATGTGAAGCTTCTCTGCAAAAAGGTAGATGTCCCTTTCTGTGTCCTCGGCGTTCACGCCCAAGACCATGCGCAGGATGAAGCGCTCCCTGAAGTCCCTCGTTCCAGCAAGGTCGAGGTTGTCTTGCCGAAGGCACTCCATGCGATCTTGGTTGGTGGGCTCCCGCATGGAGGCTGCAGTCGCAACATCGAACCTGCCGCGGAAGCTGTGGACGGCGAACGGCAAGAGAGCTGCAAGAAGGGCATTGCCAGCTCTCGTGACCATGGCATGAACAAAGTTCGCAAACTTGAATCAACTGGTGCTGGCTTCAGCCTAAAGCCAGCATCTGCGGCGGAGAGTCTTTCAACATTTTGTCGCCATGGGTCGTAACGTGCGGTTTTAGGCTGGGGCAGGTTCCCGCGTATAGGGGTGACCATCCGGGAGCTAAGGGCCTAGGAGGGGCCATCCGGGAGCTAAGGCCTCATTGAACCTGGCAATGCAGAATTCAAGGCGGTAAAGGCAAAAGTTCGGCATGTAGAGGAAGGACGGCTAGAGGCCTTGCCAACGAGTTTGGAAGGGTAAGAATTGTCTGAATTACTTCAACAGATCTCTGAAATTATTCTAGCCCAGGTTGCATGATGCATTGCGCTCGTTGGTTTGTTGCACTCACTGCTCGCACTTGCTGCTTCTGAACAGTCTCAAGAAATTCGTGGTGGCCCTTTTGCGAAGCACGCAGTCTAAGCCTAAGCTGTTGAACACTGTCTAGAACAAGAGAAAGCCGCTGGCAGCCACTGATGAGTACGTGAGATCTGCAAGCCGCTGTGTTTGGAAAGAGGTTCTAGCTAGTACTTGTAAGAAGAACTAGATCACTGTCCGTCTGGCAGACGTCCCATTGTTCAGCTTACTCTCTGCAATCAAAAATGTTTACAAAGTATGGCTGTTTGTATATATACATATATTCGTCACAGCATATTTTCACATCTAGAAACTTTACCATCCGTACCACGGCCAAGCTGTAGCGAAAAACATATGCTCCAAACACAGAGAACTGCCGACGCTGATACAGAGGAGGAGCGACGGAGCTGCACTGACCAGCTAAGAACAACAGCCTGGGAGCATGTCGAGACTGACACGTTATGCCAGCTAAGATCTCGTGGGCCGCTGCTGTAGCCGCTCGCATCGTCGTACTGAAATCCGACTACGTGGAAACAGCAAAACACGCACGATAGACAATGCATGGGGTTGTTTGCCTCTGGCGCAGACTCAGCAGCGTAGCAACGATAGCATCGATCACGTGATTTTTCAAACTCAACGAAATCGATGTGTACAAAGCTAACAAGTAGTTTGTTCATGCGACCGTGGCTCGGAGCACTGGTGTGTTTTCTGAAATGTGAAGTGAGAAACTCACAATTCCGTGATCAGACATGTACAAAAAACCCACGAGGCGGTGAGCAAAAACACAAAAAAGTTCATACCTCAAAAGGGAAAAAGCAAGAATGAAAAACACAAAACACAAAAAAAAACAAAAAAAAACAAACAAAAAACACAAAAAAACACCAAAAAAACAAAAAAAACATGACAGGAACGAAAAAAAACAATGCAAAAACCACCCACGGATCAAGGAGCCGGCTCCCGGATCCAGGCTGAATCCGGGAGCTGGCTCCCGGATCCGGGCCGGATCCGGGAGCCGGCTCCCGGATCCAGGCCGAATCCGGGAGCTGGCTCCGGGATCCGGGCCGGATCCGGGAGCTGGCTCCCGGATCTGGGCCGGATCCGGGAGCCGGCTCCCGGATCCGGCCTGGATCCGGGAGACAGATTTCAGACTTCTTTTATGTTTTGTCAGCGTTTTTTTTCATTTTTGTTGTTTTTTTTTTTCTGGTATGTTTGTGTTTTGTCAGCGTTTTTTTTTTCATTTTTGTTGCTTTTTTTCTGGTATGTTTTTGTTGTGTTTGTGTTTTTGTTTCTGTTTCAAGTGTTTTGTTCTACTTCTTGTAAGGTATTTTCGGATATGTTGAAGTTTTTGTGTGTTTTTACAACACTTTGTTTTTGAAACGACTTGTTCGTAAGGTTGTGTGGCTGTGTGAACTTTCCATTCTACAGACCACAGAACAGACCAACCGCTCGGTTGCGAAACGCGTTCACCGTTCACGTAGCTTTTTGAAATAATCGTTGGGGTTCTTAGCGGGAAAGGTGGTTGTTCTCGCTTCTGTCTTCTTTGCGAGGAAATTAAGTTTAGCTGAGAAGTAGCAGCAGCGAAATAATTATTTTATAGTAGGAATTGTAATTAGTAATAGCAATATCACTGGGGTGGGGGGGGTTGGCGGGATTTGGGGGGTGTTGAGGGGGTGGAGGGGGGGTGGCGGGGTCTGCAAATCCAAAAGCTTCATAGACTAAATCAAGCTTCGCATTCCATTCAGCCAGTTTGCGGCTGGGAGATGTAGGCTCGTCAGCAATACCCGCAATCTAGGAACATTGTTTAGAAGCTGTTTTTAGGTAATGCTGGTACGACTTGAAGATGTTTCAACTAAAGTCCTGAAGCCTCAACGACGGAGGGCATGAGCTGTGTTTCTCAAATTGTTTCGTGCAGTCACGGAACAGAGCGAAAATCTACGTCATGTCCGATCGACAATGACATGCACTGTCATGACATCGGTGCTGCCAAAACGTGAAAATTTCCCGGAATGACAGACAGAGAATGCAAAATGGAAAGACAGAGAACGCAGGCTTTAACCTCATGACGTCAACTTTCTGCCCTTACATGTGCAAAACGTTTCCAAACAGAAAGATAAAAAACTCATGTCTGACCCTCATGAATCCGAGCTTCTGTCGGTCATGCGCAATGTTCTGGTGCTTTTTTCACAAACAAATTTTCCGCCCAACCCCGTGAATCTACCACGCATCTCCTGGAATCAGGGGTCCAGGGGCTCAGGGGACATCAAGTCCCGGATGTGGGGGGCTATCCCCCGGAACTTGCTGTCATGGGAACTGCACGTCACGACGCCATGGGCGACACCACCAACGGCGGAGAAACTAACTTGTCAGCGTCAGCTCGCAACTGCTCCCTGCTGCTCACTACTGTGATCCGGGACTTTTTCTTGTTCAACTTTTCCATTCCTCCACGTCACAGGAAGGGTGGAGGGTCAAGGCACCTCACACGGACCTTTCAGCGCAACCCTTTGCACGCTCGTCATGCTCGCCGCCCTTTGCGCGGCTCTATTGGCTGCTCAGCATCTTGGCAAGGCCCTCCGCGTCCGACATCCTGTCATGCAGAAGAAGCCCGTCATGGCCCTTTTCGCTTTTGGCCTGGGGCCCGGGCCACACTTCCCGCCCTGCTGGTTGGCTCCGATCCTCGAAGATCCTCGAAACAGATGAATGGTAGGTAGTTGGAGTACGAAGCCCTCACATGGCAGAGAGCTGCAGCAAACCGCATCAGGTTTTTCTACGCGCACGGGAAAATCACGGGTCTTGGTGACACCATTGCCATGAGTTGCACATATTAGCGCATGTGGTGTAACAGAACAGCTGCAAACGCAAGCGTCCACAACCCTAGGGCTGCTCTCCACCGAAGACCTAAACCCTCCAGCAACGCTGCAAGATGGTAGAACAACTCATCGGCTTTTGCGGTTTCATGAGAAGTCCGGCAAACTCCCTGGGCTGGCTGACTCAGTCGTTTGCCGAAGTATGCTGCTATTCGTCCTGGCGTTGAACCAGCTCGTTTGTGCACGCCATGGCAGCCAAACAGTCAAGTCAGAACTCCTTTAAACCATGTTAAACCTACACCTGGGCGCATTCTGCTTACCAGGCCCTCCTTCAGACAAACCTGTGCTGCATGTGCAACAACATCTTGGCCTGCTGCATGGACTCGTCAACCAAGATTTGTGGGTCCATGGGATTGTACGTGGGGTAGACACGTGGATACAACCTCAAGGCTTTACATGACATCAAACAGCATAGCACCAGATAGATCGCGCATGGCACCTCACGGCATCACTGCATCCGGGTGGCGTATTGAGGTAAATCTCCCAAAGAATGATAAGGAATGAGAGGCCCAGTGTCACAGTTTGGACAACCTGCCCAAGAAAAGTATCCATGAAGGCGCCCTCCTCCATGGCTCGCTTGTCCTGGGGTCGTTCCCACGCGAAAGTGCCTGACTTCAACCGCCTTCATAAGCCGCCCAGCCGCCTTCTCACGGATGAAATCCCACACGCTGTTCTCAGAGGCCCCTTCTCTTGACTTGCCCAGCTTCCTCACTTTCACCTGAGCATTTTTTTTTTCATTGTGTGGGCTCTTCTCATGGCATTGACATCCTACGCGGGCCTACGCGTGAACTCATGTTTAGTAGCCGCGCGGCCTACGCGCGGAGTATGTTGTTGACGCGTGCCTACGCGGACCTACGCGGCAGGCACTCGAACAAAGCGCAAACGCATTATTTGACTTGCTATATTGTAGCCACTGGCACATTCGGATTGCTCAACCAAACTTTCTGCCCAACCCTGCCCGATTTTCTGCCCAACCCTGCCCGGTTTTTTGCTCAACCCTGCCCGAATTGTGATGTTGACGGATGGGCTACGACGTTGAAAACGACACCTACGACTACGCGCGGGCTACGCGGAGCCTACGCCGCGCCTACGCGGAATTCCTACTTATATGTGCAGTTATACATAGGGATATTTCGATATACATATAAATACATTTTGTCATAAATATAAATATAAATATAAACAGAAATATGAGAATATTCTGAATCAATATATATATATATATATAGATATACATTTAATGATAAAACCATATAGTTACAGTTATATATATATATATATCAATTAAACCAACAACCTACGCGGACCTACGCGGACCTACTGCGTAGACTTGCCTACGCGGACCCTACGCAGATACGCCCTGCAGGCAAAATGCTACGCGGCCGACTTTCAATGTTCGCGTCTCTACGTGGCCTTGCTTGTAGAAAAAAAACGCTGCTCACCTCACGAATTGAAATCCATGCTGGCACCATCTGCACACGCTAGCTGCACATCACCAATTGGGATGTTCCCCCTTATGCTAACAGTACAAACAGTCCTTCATAGGGAATACCCTATTAAGGACTGTTAGTATAGTGGGGAACATCCCAGATCACCAACCATGACGGCCTTGGGCACCCTGGTCGCTTTGAGCTTTGGCTGCCTCCGCACCCTCTTCCGCACAGAGGTTGCCTTAAATTGGGGCACCACTGCAGCTGCAGGTCTGTGCTGTCCAATGCCAATGCCATCCACGGTCGCTCGCTCTCGACTACACCGGCTCCATTTCTTGCCGAGTTTCCGGAGCGACTCCTGACCCACACTTCATACACGGCTCTGCTGAAATGGCTACGATGGATACTCGAACATGCTGCAACGCCCGCCTCCATCCTCTGGTGCAGCACTCATGGCAACCCTAAAATTCGATGGTCCGCCCGAAGAAGGCATCAGCCTGGGTTGCACAAGAGATGGCTCTGCCGCATGGCTGCCACGAGCCAAAACCACGCCTGTTGAAAAGGTCAGCCCTTGCATTATGACAATCCGGTCGTGTTTTTTTGCTTGCCACAGCTGCCGCAATAGCTGCCGCAATGGCTGCCACAGTGGCTTGTTCTGCAGCCGGGTCGCCCAACAAATGCAAATTGCCATAATCCAGCCGCTGCAAAGGCAAACACAGCTGCCACGAGTAACCGCATGGGCCGAACTGGAATGCACAAGTAGTGCGGAACGAACTGAAGCAAGGACCCACAACGCAACAACAATGAATGAAACACTGCATTGTCTATGGGGTGTGCCTGCAACGTGATTGGCTGGGGGCAACACATGATCTTTTGCGAAATTGCAGGCGTCGGGACGGCATGACAAGGAAAGCACTGAGCGTAGTCATCCAGGTATTCAATCTTCATCTTCAATGCAAAACAAGCTGACATCTGACAGCAATTGACAGCACATAAATGTCGCGCCTCTTCGCCACACTGCATGAAGCATTTGTCGGCGCATCTTACACGGTCCAATTCAGCCGGAGCCCCTGCTCCGCATTGACCCTGCACCAGCTTGGATAGTGGAGTGGCATGTCATTTAAAAGAACGATCGCAAAACGGGTTTGTCGCGAGCAAAACAATCTTCAAATAGTTAAAAAAACCCTTGTGGCAGAAGAACCCCTACTGGCCTGATGTGCCCGCATCCACACCTACATCATAAAAAAAAAATAGATGCGTCCGCGAGCTCCAAAACGCGGTCCAGCGGTGGCTCTTGCGTCGCCGCCCTCGTCGCTGCCCGCCCTGCTGCCGACAGCGCCATTGCTCGCTGCACCGCGACGGACAGGCGCGTCCACCACCGGCGAGCCCACGCCGCTGCCGCCGCGTTGCGCAATGCCGGGGGGCCCGCAGTCTGCGTAGCCGCACGAGGTCTCGTACCAGGTTCAGGGCGCCCGCGCTCCAGTGGCTCCGAGGACCACGAGGCGTTGCGGACCGGCCTGTTCGCTCCCGCCTGACCGTGCTCGCTCTCGAGGTCGGAGGCCGCTGGAGTGCCGAGGCTGCAGGGTTCGTCCGCCAGCTCGCCCGCTGCAGGGAGCGCGCCGCGCCTGCAACCGCCAGGCGCGCAGCCACCTCCGCAGACGTGTTCCGCTGGTCTGCCCTCATCTCGTTTGCAGCCACGCGCGCCTTTTGATCCTTTTGTGCCAGCCCCTTCGCACTCCCTGTTGCGACCACTGGCAATGTCGATGGAGACGTCCCACTCCTCAGCGATGTCCTGGCAGACTGCTCGGCCCTCCTCCCCTTGCCAGCCGCGTGCCGTGACAGGGCCACGCCCACAGCAATTAGCTCCCTGCCCACCGCCGCCTGGTGTGACTGCACCCTGTGTCACCCAGAGTAAGTTGAGATCGACCGCTTTGGACTTGGGAAAAAGGTGCGTGGAGAAAAAAACCGGTCCGTCAACCGCCTCCCCCTGCGCCTAGCGCCGCGAAGTGGGCGGGAAATGGCCCGTGAACCGCAAGCAGGCCACCTACCCAGAGTTGCAGCTGATCGGCAGGAGTCCGCTCCTTGGCCTGGCGAGCCAAGCGCAACGCGGCACCAGTGGTGCAGCCGCGCGCGCGACTGGGGGCAACGGTGGCCGTCAGTGGGGGGACAAGGGTGGTGTCAACAGCCAATTGAACACCCCCCCAGAGCGGGAGTCCGTTGGCGATGACCTCGATGCGACGCTCATCTTGGCGCTCAGTGACAACATTGAGATCACGCACACAAACATTGGTTGCGACCGTGGCCCCAGCTTCACGACAAACACGAGCTGCTGCACGCTCGAGCGGGCCCACACGGGCACAAAGGACGCCAGAGCGGGGGCACGCCGCAATGTGGTTCGACGTCGTCGCTGAGAGCAGGGCGAGAGCGGTCCTCGCAGCTCAAGAGTCTGGAGCTGGCACCACGCAATCTTGTTCTCGCCAACATGCCCAGCCTATCCTCACGCAGAAGCTCCTGCGCCCCCAGCTTGAGGAATTCAAAGCGAAAACATGCGGCGGTCCTAGCCTTGCAGCCGCACGGTCTTCATCATCAAACCATAGGAAGCTCTGACCGCCCCGCCTGGCGGTGAAGGCATGATTGGATTCGCGTAGGGGACCGGCGACGCCAGTCTGACAGTCAACGGGATAGCGGCCGCATGGCTGCACCAGCAGCTCTCTCAGCGTTTGCAGTGAGCTCACCAGCGTCATGTCGACCGCGGGACGTGTCCTTTCTTTCTCTCGCAACTTTTTCTACCCGCAAGAAGTGCCGGGGTTCTGCCTCTCAGCGCAGCCGGCTGTCTGGGGTGGGCTCCACCCTGCGTGCGTCCGCCAGCACATCCCCCCACGGCCGCGGGTCACCCTCACCACGCTCCGCCCCCGCCAGCGGCAACTCGAGCAGCGACATGGCATGCGACATGACAAGCGCGAGCTGGGCCGCCACTGCCAGCATGCCAGTCCATCTGTGGATGCTGGCCCGGCGTGCAGCAGGCCTCAGACGGGCGGGTGATGTCGGGATATGTCGGGTGCCTCGCGTACCTTGGTGTGTCCTCGGGCGCGCTGTGCCGTCCCGCGATACCGGACTTACAAGAGTCGTGTCAACGGGAGCGGCCCGTTCCAGAGGCGTGCCACGTGGACTCTCGCACCAGGCCAGGGGGCTCCTGCCCAGCCGAATTCCAACCCCGCGTTTTTTTATCTTTTTTTTCCCCCGGACTTTTGCGCCAGCATGCTGGTTCATCCGGAGTCTGCTACCCCAGGCCGAGGAAGCAGCCACGAGAGCTCACGGCGCCGGCAGGCGGCTCGGCGGCACGTTCTCTGCGCTGGACCGGCCTGATCGCCGTCGCCGCGCAGCGAGCCTTGGCCTGCTCCCTGCTCATCTTGCTCGAGCTCCCGATGGCGGGAGCTCACGAGTGTAGCTGAGCCGCCGTTGGGCGACCTCCTGGCGGACGCGACGGGCGGTGGAAGCGCAGCTTTGGCCTTCGCCAGTCCATGGAGGAATCCGACGGCCTCGTCGCCGAGCCTGCCGCCCACCTCCAGCCCGATGACGCGTTTTGCCCAAATGGAAGGCCGCGTTCGCATGCGTTTTGAGCGAGCTGCCCAGCAGGTCCAAGTTGGTACTGTGCGGTTTGGCGTGGATACCACATATGGGTCTCCCGAGGCGCAAAGAGTTCCTCACCCGGTTGCAACTGGGAGTGCCCCGCCTTGCACACCGACAGAGGCATTAGCGGGTCACCTTGCTCAAGGCCTTCCGCCTGGATGACGTCATGCCCCCCGGCCAGTCGCATCGTAGAACAAGTAAGTGCTCTGAAGCCCTTAAATGGAATGAGCACTCACAGCCCCCCGTCAGTGGTGCGCCACTGCAAGGCTGACCGATCAGAGAGGGACGTTGCCTCCTGCTACGGAAACCAACAGGCTTGCAGGAAGGCCGACGGCGTCTGCGTTTAGCCACTCTCAGGCCACCACCGTATCCGTAAAACTCATGGCAGTGCTGACATGTGCTGATGATGCGGAGCTTGAATGAGCTTCATTGTTTTACTTCCCTTGCCGTGCACCTGTTCTGTGATGCGCCTCCAATAACCCCTGGCCCCTGGCCTGTTTTTTTTTTTTCCGCGTCCGCCGAAAGCGTCCCGAGTCCCAACGACGTCAGCTACCTAGACTCCTACGGAGTGCTAGCAAAGCGGCAGCCGACTGGGGGCGCTCGCACTCGCCAGGTCGAGCACGTCGCTCAACGGGAGCGTGTCTGGCGCGCCAAGCAGCGGCGGCGGCATGGTCCAAACGCCAAGCGCGGAGGTGGCGACTGCTCGCTGCAGGGCAACCGACAACACACTCCACCAGCGGCGCACCCAGCCCTGGGCGGCTGAGGCGCGCAAGGGTGGGGGGGAACTGTTGGCACTCGTCGCTCCATCGGCCCCCCAGCAGCGAGGACAACCAGCCGCTGAGGCCCCCCTCGCGTCAGCTCCGGGTACCGTGCCACCTTGCGCCTGCGCGCCGTAACAAGCGCGACTGGACGTGGCTACAAGCGAAACGCGAGCAGCAGTTCTGGGCACGTGTGCCAGCACCACGGCCCGCTCGGCCCACCTCTGGCCGAGCTTGTCGGTCGGGGCCTGTGGTTCACAGCGTGTCCGCCGCGGCCGCTGCAGCGGCGGCATCCACCAGCAGTTCGTCCCAGCGGCGGTCCGCGAGCAGACGTGCCCGTCCCGAGAGCTCTTCCGGCGGGACCTGACCACGGTGGCGATTCAGGAGCATGCGCGTCGCGAGTAGAAATAAACTTTTTTTTTGGGGACCTCTTCCAGCCCGCCGCTCGCATGAAGTCGTCCTGTGTGTGTACGAGCTGGGGCTAACGGCTTCGCCCACTTAAACGGAGGAGCCAGGCACACTGCAAATCTGGCAGCTGTGGCAGGTGGTCCAGCAAGGCCTGCTTTATTTCCACGCGGCGTCCCAGGTACGTGTCTCGCCCCATACAGCGTTGCACACGCGTAGTGCCCACGTCGGATGCAATGCTCCTGGACCTTGGAGGTGATGACGTACCAGCGACGAAGTCTAGGCGGCGGTGATTGGCAGGATCGACGCCAGGGGAAGGCATCCACGCGAAACCACTGTTGAGGGACGATTTGGCCGTCAGGTCCGACGCGATGCGCACCTGCGTGTTCGAGGGGCGCACCCGCGCACGGGCTGGCGGCCTCACTTGCAGAGCCCACTTGCGGGAGCGTCACGTGGAGCAGCAGAGAGAGAGCACACGACCTGCCGCGACGACGGCGCCAGGCGCGGAGGCAGCACAGCGCGAAATGGCGCACCTCGGCTCCCCAAGCGATGCGGAGTGCGGGGCCAACGCAATGCCCAGCGTGCCTTTTCGATGCGCCTGCAGCAGTCAGGGCCGACACATGTGTCGTTTGAACAGCAAGCTGCGTGCCACCACAGAGCGGCATGCCGAGTGCCATCAACACTGAAAAAAATCAACGCTTGTCACCACTATTCACCACTGTGCGTCGCTAATCTGGGCGGGTGCTTCACGCGCATTGGCATTCGGACGTGCATACGTGCAATGCATCCGGAGATCTCTTCAAGATGGATTGGATTGAATCGGCAGGCGTCGTTTCACGCACCGCTCACCCCACACTACATAAAAGGGTAGGGCGAGAGGGCGCGAAAATCCACGGATTGGTGCGACAGTTAGCACGTGTCACATCTGGACCTCCGATCCACTCACAATTATGGGGAGTGCGGCAGTCTCCCAGAATATTATCGATCACACATGGGCCGTGGAGCACTCGATTCGGCCCGATCATACCCCCAACGACTTTGTAGGCGCTGCCCCTAGACGCCCTTATGCCAACGCCCACACTGGTCTTTTGCCCTGCCGCATATGCTCCTATCGAGGTATTGTCAACTATCGTCAGAAAACACGGCGGCATCTCAAGAGTAAGCTCCGGATTGGGGTTTCGGTGCTTAACAACGACCTCAAGTCCCGAAATGTCCTGAACCTAGGTGTTGAGCGTGACCGCGCGCCCTGGCAGCCGCGCTCCCGGAGAACGCAGGGGCCGGACCTGGGGCATGTGGCCGCGTGGTCGTCGAATGCATGAAGCGTAAGCGACAACGCCAAAATTTCCGGCACTGCGGATTCTGCAAACATATCAGCGGATGGAGGTGTCCTATAGTCGCACTTTCGTAAAGTCTACTCGGGCGACACCCATGGCCGTGTTGGTACCCAAGCAGCTCGACCCCGAATTTCGCGTGCTCCACGAGGGTTGGCCAAGGACGTCAATGATATGGTACGGACAGTACTATGCTAGCCCGCAGGAGGTGAACATCGTTCCACTATCGTTCCTCACGAGGCTGGCCACGGTGCAGGGTGTCAAACATGCCACGTGCCGGACGACGAGTTTCTCGCCACTGAGGGCTACTTCGGCTGCAAACAGTCAAAACGAATTCAACCGAGAGCTCGGCTGCAAGCACAATCGTGCGCGAGACGTGCTACACGTTGACCGTAGGGCCGCTAGTTCGCACTGGGCGATCCAATTCACACTTTATCCGAAGGTAGCGTTGAGGATGACATCCCAAGAATCGGTGTGTCCAAGATGTCAGACGCCAGCACACGCGTACCGCATTTGGGTGTGACCCTAAACGAAAGTGGGAGCGACCACCCGATGCCGCCACGTGTGCAATTGTGAGCACTGATCGCCGCCGACGCTCACGATTCGCCACGTTCTTTCAATCCAAAGCGTGCAGGTTGCCTGGGCCATGAACCAGCAACGTCCGCATGCACCTCAACCTCGTCGACCACCCAGCCGATCGATGAATTAAAGTTTGTTCTGCTCTTGGGCAATAGACTCCACCTTCCTCGTCCCCTTGGGCCATTTGTGTCAAAAAATGTCAGCCATGGTAGTTTGAATTGCAGCTATGAATCTGCCGGGCCACTGTGGCCTGGGCGGAACAACTGTCACGTTGTGAAAGAACGAGATAAAGAGATTTCACCTTCCGCCCGCGCCGCGACACGTACAGCAACGGCTACAGATGCCGTTTTTCAGCTCCGTCCAGTGGTCCCATCGCTCCGGCTTTGCTTCTGTCAACGGTCTAGATGTAGAAAAAATTGTGAGAAGCTGCTTCGCCGTGCTGTCCTTATCCCGATGAACGGCCGTCTCCACTGCGGATGCACGAAAGGTTCCAAGTATGCACCTCGCGCTTTGCTATAATTAAGCGGTTGCAAGTGACTGAGCGCTTGGAAACTACTGCTTGATTTGCGACTTGCAGAATATATCTTGCCGTTTGCCAGCCCTTTTGCTTCGAATGCGGACGCACATGTTGGCAACAAAGGCGCAGCCACTATGTGAGCTCTTTCGGGCGGCGGCAAAGGTCGCTAGAGCAGCGACAAGAATTCCACTTCCACCGTGAGATCTTGTGTGACCCCATCACATCTCACCACACTTGGGATGCAAGTGAGTTGGGACACAACGTGACAAAGAAAAAGCTGGCGCCTGTCCACATGACAGATGGCCGAGAGCGGTCCCATGACCAGAAATCGCAAAGTACTCGAAAAAAAAAACGCATTTCGCAACTCCAATGGCGCAATCTCGCGAAATGGAGATGCGCTGCCGCTTGCTTCTGTTGTGATGGTCTGGTGATCGGCGTATCGGCAGAAAAATTCCAAACGTCAAGGCGACGGATCCACCACACGGGACATTTCGTCAGGCATGTGACTTGTTGAACGTAGTGATGAAGAGAACGCAGCCTCGCAACAACGGCAGCCGCATCTGCCAAGAGTTGGTTCTTCTCCTCATACCTAAGCACAAATGCACTGCGCAAAACAAAGCCAACCAATGCCACAAACCGGAATATTGAGTGCGGCCACAGCTCGAAAGCTCCCGTCTCAACATCCACATTTGAAGAAGCAAAATTACACCCACCTGGGTCTTGGCCAATAAAACGCAATCAAATGAGATATCGTCTGACGGCCGTGAAAAGAAACCGCAGCTGACTGGGAGCAAACCATGAATATATCGAACATCAGTGAGTCGCGCACGCCCGAACGTTCAAGTCGGCCGTCAACCCAACATTCCCACGGCAAGATAATCGTGACACGGGCCCAGGCGACAGCGCTGAGAACGCCGATGTGCCAAAATCGAGGTTGTGGCAGGCATGCCTGCGCGACACGACCGCCATAAAGCTTGAAATTTGCAGACATGGCTGTGTGTTTCAACCCCCTCTTGTGCCCATCATGTTGTTGGCCGTCCAGAACTAAACCCCGGCAAACCTTCACGTCCGAATGGTCGGCTCTGGGAGTTGCGCCTGAACATGCGAATCAAGCCAGCTGCTGGTCAACCCTGCTCGCAACCTTTATAAGCCTCTGCTTTTTGCATCCGCAACACGCCGCCCCATGGAACCAAGCTACTTGCAGCTACTTGGCTAAGTCGAAAAAGTGAATCAATGAGCTGCCATCTTTTCGCTGAATTAATTGCATTCTGGTTTTAAAAACATCTCGCGAAGTGCTGGGCATGTGGTTTAGCACGGCATTCGATCCAACTGCAACGGTGACAGGCAACACTTCCATGCAAGATCCTGTCCGCTCGCGCAAAAACTACAGACCACATTCATGATGAAAATTGGCGCCAACAAGAACAAACTGCTCAAAAAATGTTTTGGCAAGTTTCACGGGCTGGCAAGCCACTTGGATAAATTTATCAATGCATCGACATCGCCTCTTAAACCAGATTGTTTCACACTCCCCGACCTTCCCGAAACCAATCAGAAGTCACGGGTCAAAGGCGAGAAGCTTCTCAAAACTGTCGGCGTGCGGGAATTAACTTTAAAAGGTCCCAAACCATGGTTTCATATTGCATGTGCGTGCTACTGCATGTTCATCTGTATGTTCATCTGGCTTCGCTGGCACTCACATTGTTCCGCACCCGCACCTTCTCCTGCAAAAACTATCTTGTTCAACCTAGATTCGAAGAATCTATCACTGAAGCTCGCTGAGGGTCCTGCATGGTTTTCATTTGGCAAACTTGTCTGACACTTAAAGAAGTCTCGGCGGTTGCAGCTTGAGCCACAATGCAGAGATTGCTCCACAGCACGCTTTCTCGGACCAGTCAAACTTTGCCACCCGCAGCAAAGCAATGCATGAGGCTGCATTCGCAGATGCAGACTTGATTTTGCACAATGGCCTTAAGTCAGGCTACGGGACATATGTAGCCGATCGCAAACGTGTCGCGGGCGCTAAAACAGATGAAGAGCATCTTGTGCATGAGAATTACGTGTTCTGTGAAGTAATCCCAGCCAGCCAAGAAACTTCGGTGGGGTACAAAAACAATTTATGTAGGTCACATGCTTATAACGGATGTAGTTGAGTTGACGAGAAAGTTTTTATCTCCGCCCAGAGGAAACCTTTGCCCGGTCCCAAGGTGGGACTTCGTGCCCTCCGGCAATACATGATTCTTATGGTTGGTTTGAGCAGGAAGCCTTCCTTGCCCGTGGGGAAGGGGCCTAGCGAGCTCAGCGGCACCCGCGATCCCAGCGCCCCAGCCTGCGCACCCATCATGCAGAGCAACACAGTCTCGGTCTGTGATCTCATGTGGCGCGCACTTGCAGCGGGACATCACGAACCTCTGCAAGGCAGGAGGATGTAAGAAACCTCTACAAAGCGAAGCAAGTGTGGGGTGGGAGCAGGCGAGGGGCTTGGTGTGGGGCGGGAGGGGCAGGGGCAGGCGAAGCGATGTAAGATTTTACGAAGCAAGTGGGGGGTGGGACAGGCGAGGGGCTTGGTGTGGGGCGGGAGGGGCAGGGGCAGGCGAGGCTTGGGGTAAGCGTGCGCAGAGCAAACGCCCTTCGGGATTTCACTGACGCCTCGCCCAAGGGGGTCGGACAACCGCGAAGGGAGGGACAAACCTCCAAACCCTCACCAATCCCTACGAACACCCCTTTCGACCCCCCGCCCGGGCCCCATAAGGACTGTGGGGCTTGCCTGGTCGAGGGCCCCAGAGGGCATGACCCCTCCCTTTGTGCTCGTAGGGTTTGTCGAAGGCATCGAAGGCTCTGGAGGTAAAAGTGGATGTACGTGTACAAGTGTGTTTGCTGCCCGCGCGCAACGGCACAGATGTTCCGCCTGGTCACTCCCCCCATGCCTGCTGCGTAGCTGCTGGCTTGACAGGCGGATGTGCGTCACTAGTCCGTTCGGATTCAGTTTGAACTTCCGCCACCTCCCCTCCGACCTTCCTCTGTCTTCCTTGCCGCGCAAGGTTCCTCGCTGCTCCCTGCTTCGGCCTCCGGACCGATTGTTCCAAAGTGTCCAATCATCCCGGAGTCGGAAGTGAAGGCTGCCGCATCTTGCTCTGGACCCGTAGGCTCCCTGCTGTAGTACACTCTCCATCAGATGTACTCTCCTTTTTCACACTTTGCTGGTGCTCTGGACCAGCATTCTGTTCACCTTTCTTGCCCGGGTGCTTCTGCCCGCAGG